AGGGACGCAGGTGACAGTACCAGAATCTGCCTCATTTCCAAGGTGAGCTAGCTGCATCTCTCATCATAAGCCATTTTTTTTTTTTTTTTTATTAATAAGAGATGACCCAGGTAGGACTTTGTTTCAACTTTTGGCGGTACACCCACTTTCACTGATCCACATGAATCTGGGTTGAAAGAGCTTTACTAGTTTAAACCCAAAATGGTTATTTCATGATTTTAAAAAAGTGGTTCCATGGGTCATGCTCAGTTTTCACATATAAGCGACTCTGGCAGATCCCAATTTGTAAATGTAAGAAGAATAATTAGTAAAAGAAAGATAAAAATAACCACAAATGCCATCTGTTGAGTATCTTCAATGTCACTGGCTATGAATGTTACATATAAAATCATTTCCTCAATCATCACAGTAATTTGGGCATGGAAACAACTCTGACCATGAAGAAAGTGAGGTTTACAAAAAGAGGCTCCTTTAGGCGTGGTCTGAGAGGACAGAGAGCCTCAGCAGAAATGCATAATCCTGGGCCCCAGGCCTGGAGAGTTAAGGACCCTAGGGATGTGGCCCAAGAGCTCAGCAGCCACTCCACAGAGTTCTCAAACCAAGAATTTAAGAAAATAAACCCTGACTTGGAGAGTAACTTTCTGAGGCCACTAAGCAATAAGCAGCAGAGTCAACACGAAAGCATTTGTGCTGAGTGTTGGAAACTGTCCTGTTCACTTTGGGCAATTAATGAGGAGCCAGGAGTGGGCTAATCAGGTTAACACCTGTAATTCAGGATTCCCCTGAGATCAGATCAGGAGCCCTCAAGCCTGTGTCTGTCCCCAGGGACCCTAACAGCCAGAGATCTATTTTACCACACTGGGCTTCTTTATTTCTTTCCTTTTTCTTTGTCTATGGAGGGATTACCCGCTGACATGGACTCCACTTTTTGGAAGTCATGATGAACAGGGTCCTGCTTCAGGTACACAGATTTCTCCTCTCATTTCTTTATAGATGAATGCAAATAAAATTAAGGACTAGCTCAGCATACAGTGTGATGGACACTGGGCTCAGGGCTTTATTCTCGTCCAGTCCAGTCTAGAACTTTCTACTGTAACACAGTGACCCCCATAATGACACCCACAGTGTGTCTATGATGTCCAATGTGGTAGTTGCTACGCACAGCGGGCTTAACTCTGTGAATAAGGGCCTCTATTTTATTTAAATCTCAGTTGAAATGCTGGCACAGGTGCACTGGCCAGTTTGTGTACTGGACAGCCTGCATGTCTTTCCTTACATAAAATGCACTCTAAATCCATGATTTACTGTGCCCATATGACATATGCATAAACTGAGGTTAGCAGAACTGAGCAAATGAAGTTACACATCCAGGTTGCCAGGTCTGTTGCAACTCCATGGTTTACAGAGCCCCAGGGTGCTCGGCTGCCTTTGTATGGGCGATCCTGGGAAGCTGGTGCTCAGAGTGCTACCAAAGCAAAGACAATGCCAATGCTGTCCTAAAAGTGCTGCATCTGAGCATCTATTCCTCCAAGCAGCAAGCATGCTGGTGTCCACCTGATGGCCATCAGGGAGGATGTTTGGGCGTTACTCTGTTATTACACGTGCATTTTCCAGTTACAATAAGGCTCTTACGTCATAAATGATGTATATGGAGACAGAGCTTTCCCCTGCAGGGAACAGGAAGAGCAATGTTATGATTTATATCTAGATGTTCCCCAATGCCCAACAAAATCATGGGCAGGACCTTTGGAAGGTGCCTGTCTTGTGTGGGTATTATGGGTGACTTGCTTAGGAGGTGAGGTCTACTCAGTGGGCATGACCCAGAAACATCATCTCCTGGCCCAGTTGCTCAGTGACTCTGATTCCAGTCTGCCCTGCCCTGTTGAGCAGCTCTCCTCCACCATGCCTCTCTGCCATACTGTCCTGTCGTGGGCAGCAGGTTAACCTCTTTTCCTTTAAATTATCAATGTTGGACGTTGTGGCTCAGCAGAGAGGAAAATGACTGAGACAAGGAGCTTCTGACTGTTTCATAATGAAGAAGACAAAGAAGAGGAAGAGCGGGAAAGAGAAGAAGATGTGCTAATATAACTGTCATCCTTTGCTGTGTGATCTTTGAAGGCCTGACCCATGTCTCTACCCTCTACTTTGTCACCACCGTGATGAGAAATAGACCCTAGAGTCTAAGATGCCTGTAAACCACCTCCATCTCTCACACAGCAGGTCGGTCTCACCCAATCCATGCCCAGGGCTGAAGCCCTGGAGCCTCCACACTCACTGCACCAGCCTTGTTTCACCAAATGGAACCTGAGCATCTCGAATGACAGGTGGCAGTGGGACAGCAGCAAGACAGGCTCTGCAGTCACCAGCATTTCTGGTCCCTCCTCCGGGGATGGAGCAGTGCATGCAGAAGAAAAGGGCCTGCACCAAGTTGAAATGACTTTGCACACAGGCTTCTTCTGCAAAATATGTGCAGTGTTTCCTGGGGAGGTGGATGGACCTTGCTGAGCCTCAGTTATTCCCAGGGTGAAAAAGGGAAGAACATACCTCTTTATGGGGTTCCCCCATGGGGTCAATGAGCAGATGAGTGTGGAGCCTAGAGGGCGTATCTGAACAAAGAGAATTTTTCTATCACACCTCCCTTCTAGCCTGTGGTCCAAACTCCAACCCACTTCCATTCCTACTTCAGAACCAATCGCATTTAGCAAGACTTCCCTATTCTCCACGTCAAGTTTCCACGTGTTTTTATATTTCACAATCCACACCTATGTTCAAACTGGTTCACTGATCCATGCTAAATTTTGGGGTGTGGAGTGCACGTGAATCAGCTTCCTGAGTGCTACAGCTCTGCCTTGTGCATCTTTCCTCCCATGCTGCAGCCCACATATAGCCTAACAGTGATGGTTTTGTTGATTCCTATAAGACTGAGATTGAGATTTATCTGTAAGCTGATAAATCCACCCATCCATCCATACATCCATCCATGCATCCACCGAGTCTATATTTATTAAGCACATACTTTGTCTCCTAAGGGCCAGGCATGGATATGGATGAAATACAGCACACAACAGGGACCAAAACAGGCCAGAACCCGAGCCTTCATGGCATCTGCTTTCCCGTAGGGAAGAGGGGGTGAAACAGTTATCAAATGGACATTGGTGGTGCTTGGTGATTGGTGGACTGGTGATGCTATGAGGAAATATAAAGCAAGAGAGAGACAACGTAGGAAGAAATTCACTCTGTTATACAGTGGCCAGGGCAAGTGTCTCTGAAAAGCAGACATTTGGGCAAAAATGTACCAAATGGCTCAGACCAATTTGAATCGCTGTGAATGACAGGTGGCAGTGGGACAGCAGCAACCCCAGAGGGCATGCCCCTTCCGGAGCAGGTGCCACTCCTACAAGGGACAAGGTTTGGGATTATATAATCTCTTCCCTTTCCCACAGAAGCAGGAAGTCTGACTTTCTCTCTGAAATTCCCCAAGTCAAAAGATGTTGATTACAATCAAAAGTTTTCAAAGCCACGAGTGGTCCAAAATATTTTCTAAAAAACTGTTTCCACATCATAAATAGCCTAACAAGTGAGTTTTCAACTTCTGACAGTAAATAACCAGTACACCATAGAACCCAAGCTATTTCCAAAGATTCTGTTCAATAGCCTGGGACTCTTCCCCAAGACACACAGGAAATCTGTGTCACATTGGGAAATAATCCGATTACTTGGGACCTCTCCTTTGACTGCCCAGGGGACAGTGGCTTTGGGGTCCATGAGAGGGGTTAAAAAAACTGTCCACTGTATCTTGAATATAAAACCAGCTCATAGTTCATGAAGAAAAACATGCTTCAAAAAAGGAAAGAAAAAGTAACTCCCTACTAATAAGAACTGCTTTTGTTGCTTTTTTTTTGCTAGAGCATTGCCAATAAAAATGCATTTGGCAAAATCACCCAGAGGAAACACTACCTTTATTCAAACCTGTTTTTCTTCTCCTTTCACTTGATATTTCTAAATTAACTTATCAATAATGTATTAAAGTAATACTCAAAAATGGAACAATACTGCACCTTTAAGAAAATATTATTTTTCCCGAGGTCCTATCAAGGTAAATTTCATCAGTATTCAAAGAATGAGCAAAGCACTTCAACAATTTATTTCAATAAAAGAAGACTTAGCTGAAAGGAGTATAAATGATGAGAACTTGCTTTAAACTGATTTATTCCCTGCAGCAATAAAAGGAATGTTTCTTCACTCAGCTGTTTAATATGCAAATATGCAGAACATCCAGCCCCTGACAGCACATCATTAATAAAACCTTGCACAGAGCAGAGCGCCTGATTTTTCATCCTGATGAAAATACACGATGATGATTTTAGATTGTAGACTTTCAGACTTGGAACAATGTGCTTTCTGGTTATGAAGCCCTCCCATCCCCGTCAAGAGAGGAAGGCAGGTTCTCAGATCAGCAACATGCTTTCTGCAGCAGGAAGTCCCAGGGCAAAGAAAACAGACACAGGGCGAGCTGACAACAGTCCGCGCTACCAGGGCCCCAGGGAGGAGATGGAACAGGGAACCAGGCCCGGCGCAGAAGGGCCAAGGTCTGAGGCATTCTTCTCTTGGGGACAGTGGCATGTCACTTTCTGCATTTTGATTTGGACTAGGAGTATGGAGGATACTTTCTGCTGGATGCTAGCTTTACATCCACACAAAAATCCAAGATAGGGAAAATACAGAGCTAAAGAACTTGAGTCCCTTAGAAACCTTCTGTCCACATGCTGTCTGAATTACTCTCAAACTCATAAAACAAGAAAAATATAGGAAAAGCTGGAAAAATTCTTAGTGCCTTTTCTTTCCACTAACATCTTGGATTTAATTTAACAGTATAAAGATTTTTAAAGCATCAAAATTTCTTTTGCTTCTTTACAACTTTTATATTTTCCAATTTTTCCATAATGGATATGCCATATGTCTAGTCAGAAAATCATGTTTTTAAAAAATGTAGCTTACTATTCTTTTTTCTTTTCTTTTCTTTTTTTTTTTTTTTCTCTCTTTTTCTTTTCAAGGGGCTAGTACCCAGGGATAGCTAAGATTCTAAATACTAGGAAGGGAGAGATCCAGTTTTCCAGAGTCTTGGAACCTTCCAACAAAACTCCATACTGGCTCACAAAATAAGTTTATGTGACATGGTAAAATGAATTACTAGTTATAAGTACTTAGAGAATTGCCTGGGACATGCCAAGGTCCATAAAAGAATTTATTAAATTAGTAGCCAGTCAACCAGGTTAAAACTGAAAGGACTTTAGCATGCAAAGATGAGTTTTCTACAAACATTACTGAAGCAGATAGATACAGAAACCCTGATTTTTTAAATTAGTTAATTGTATGCTTACCATGTTGTATGACTGTTATCTAAAGCTTGGAAAACTTTTGCATTAAAATCCCAGGTCTTTGGAAATCTCATTTTCCTATCTGCTAAATATGCATAATCATAATCCTTCTTATGCTGATGAATGTTTTAAGGATTCGTGTCACAATCTCATCATCTGTGCAAACATTCTGTCCAATACGTGTCCTAGAGCTCAAGTCGGCCATTTTCTGAGTGCTTACTATCCACTAAACACTGCATGTATTAACACACACTTCACTAACAACCCCTCAGCATAGCACTGCTAAAGGCATTTCATGAGGGGACACTCAGGTAGAAGATGTGAGAGAGGCCCACGCACTGCATGCCCTTGGAGTTGAGTCTGCCTGGCAGTGGACCCCACACTGTGTACCAGCTGCACCCGATCTGTTACTTCTTCCAGGAGGGAAACAGATCTGACAGAGCGATGGCTCAAATACACAAGGGAAGGGCAGATTTCCCCCATCTCTAGTCACAATTCATGTTCAAAGACTTTTTTCCTTGATTCTTATTTTTTTAAATAAAGTATCTGAAAGGCAGTTTGGGTTATGAGGTGGCCAGCAGGAAGAGAAAGGCAGATGGCAGAGTACACAGCCTACAGCTACACAAAAAGGTGTTAAGTTTTCTGTGGCTATGCTGCTATTTCAAACTCTTGTGACTTGTGAGTCTCTTACTAACTTTAGATAGACGAGAAAAGAAATCAGTGAACTTACTCTGTAATAGTGTGAGGGCAGAGACTGTGTCTCCTCTGCTCCTCCGGCTACATCTCTTCCTCTCTCTGTCACCTGTGCTCTCTTTATCCAACCAAAAGAACAACTCTGTGTGCCACAGGGAAGATGGTCACAGGATTTTATTTCCAAATATTTCAATTATAAATCGATTGTTTACCAGAATTCAATGAAGTTTGCAAAATTACGCTTTGAATTAGTTCCCACCGCGAATCTGAAGTCTTGCGGGCAAGATTTCAAGTGGTCTCTTGCAGGTTTCAGTAAACTTCTCCAAGCTAGTGCTTTCCATGTTTCTGATTTTATGTGCTCAGTAATACGCCCTCATAACTCAAATGGGATGAACCAATTAAACATTTCCCTATAGTCCCGGAAAGAGCTGCTCTTGGCATGTTTTTTGCATGGCACAAACCTCTGCGGGAGGATACGATAGAAATCTTGCACTATTTAAATATAGAATTGGGACATCAAAGAAAGGGTTGTATTGAAATAACATGGATAATTAAGGAAGTGGAGAACAGTAATAACTGATTTACATAAAATGCTAATGAGTCTCTTGACTTGTTTGGCAATTTGCACTTTAGGCTTGGTTACCGTGGCTCCAAATTTATGATCTAATTTTTATTTTAATATTTTCCTTTAGCAAGTTGTAACCAACCCTAATGGGTGCCTGCCAACCTCTAACTTCTTGGCCATTCAACCACCCAGAAGCATCTCTTTCATTCTGGGGTACGGGACTTGGGGGCTGGGGATGCAACTAGTCCTCGGGTCTCCAGGCTGTCCTGTTTTAGATGTGGTTCCTTCATATTGCAGCAATGGTGTGATTGCTGGTGATCAATAATGTTTAAAGCGTCCACAAGTGGCTAAGGTAACTGAATTGGAAATCAGATTTGAAACATTCCGGACGCCTGGTACACCCACCCTTGCTACCAGGAGGCAGAGCCCAGGACAGGGCACCCTCTTGCTCTAGGTTCCTGCTTATTCTTCACTCTAGAGAAGAAATCACAGGCTCTGAAAATTCCGGTTTCATTGTAGTCTTCTCCTGATCTCACATCACAGGGCCACAGCCTCCCATGAATGAAAATGAGCGCGCTGGCCGTCCCTCCAGGACATGCCTGCTCACTGACCTTCAGCATACCCTACTTCCCTCCGAGCCCTCTAAGCATGATCCATTGCTTTCTCAGACCATTCCCCCTTCACCCCATTGATGAGTTTCAAAGCTACTTAAATTTCCAAGTCCTGATGTGCTGCGGCGGTGGCCCGGGCTCTGCCTCCGCTCTCTTATGGATTGTGCAAGGTCACCGCCGGGGAGAGGAAGGAGGCAGGCAGAGCATTTATCAGGATGTATTGCTTTACTTTTTCTATCCATCACCAAGGCGATGATTCTATTTTAGTGAAAATCCATTGAACTCCGATCAAGTCAGATGGCTGTTATCATTGGAAACTCAAGAGCTGTCAGGCCATAATCAGTACAAATGTTGGCCCTCGAAATGGGGGGCTCCAGACCAGGGATGGTCTTCTGGGGACCTCTGTGGTCACTTTGTCTTTTAAAACTCCATCCAGTCGTTTTTATTTAAGTATCTTTTTGGCTGTTCTCCTTGTAAAGGATAAAATCTGGTTACTCTAGTTGCAATGAACTGATAATGTGCGGTTTGGGCACAGTTTGGAAACACAGTGGTCATAATCACCTGCCTGCCACCTGGCACACCTATGCACCCCTGGATGCCCACAGAAGGCTGAACAAAAGGAGTGTGCATTTGTACACACATACATGCACTCTCACACTCCAGTCTTGGTCAAAATGACCAAACCCTTCCTGCTGCTTCATGGTCTCTTCAGTATGCACATTTTCTGATCATCACACTTGGCTACAGAGCACAGTGTCAGCAGGAACAGTGGCCTCCCACACTGGATTTTCATCAGAAATGCCCCTAACTTGCATTCACATGTATCTGGGAGGGTTTCCTGCTCTCAGCTGTGACTTTGAACACAGAAGAAAAAGAAAGAGGAAGAGAGGAAGAGGGGAAGAGAGAAAGGAAGGAAGGAAGGAAGGAAGGAAGGAAGGAAGAGAGAGAGAGAGAGAGAGAGATGCAGATCCCACAAAGCTGCATGAGAATTTCTTTGTCGTGTTGTCTTCTGGAAAAGGAGTTAATTAAATCTGACAAAATCATTTAAATATCTGCATTTTAAAATATCTGAATAAAGCCATATCAAGATATCTGCTACTATCCTGATTTTCTCAACTCTTGGGAAAAAGGGAGTGGTAAAAAATGACAGAGTAGATTTTAATCAGGGTCTCACTGCTTAGCGTCATATTTAACTCTTAAGCACCAAAGAGTGAATGATGTTATCCACAGATGGTCTAAAATTATATTTGTTCCTTATCCCAGTATAGGCCATACCCTGACACAGTGGGCTTTGAGTGAATAAATGCACTCCCCAAAACTAAGCACATGTCTGTCCATCTCCCCACTTGCTAAAATTAAACCAATTTGCTAGGGTAGACTGCATTTTGCAATCCATACCTTTACTCCTCTATATTAGCAAGGGTAATTGGATATTGACGGTGCATTCTTAAATATATTTACATTTTAAATGATAGCAATGATAATCAGGGTAGTTATTTATTGGTCACTTACTGGGAACCAGGCGTCTTGCCAACTGCTTTACATATGGTGTCTCCATTTAGTGGACAGAGGGAATCTCCACTTTATAGACAAGGAAACCAGGGCTCTGGAGCACCAGCAGAGAACCAGGTCAGCATCCAACTTCAGAGTGGTGGCCATCTGGAAGCAATGCTAAGGACCACCTGATGGAGTTGTATTAAGTAAGCTAAGCCACTCCAGAATCTGTATTCATTTCTGACATCAGAAAAAGGCTGACATCACAGCAGAAATGTCTCGGCTATGACCTCACAGTTCAGGAAGCCATCTGCCTGAGACACAAATGTCCACAGGTTTGAACCCTTCTGGAAGCTCTGAGGGAGAAACTTCCCCGGGTTCTTCTTCAGCTGATGCTGATGACTAGCAGTCCTTGCTGTCCCCAGCACTGGACGCACAATTCCAATCTCTAGTCCAATCTTCACACTATATTCTGTGTTTTTCTGCCTCTTCTAAGGACACTGCAGTTGAGGTTAAATCCTACCCTAACCTGGTATGATAGCATCTGAAAGATCTTGTGTTCAAGTAAGGTCACATCCAGCTCTCCGTGGAGAGATGAAATGGGGAGGCATTGTTTGGGATGGTTAATCTTGATGGACAACTTGGTTGGTTTGAGAGGCAACTAGGGGATGAGGAAAGCAGGCTTCTGGATGTGTTTGGGTGGCTCAAAGGGACTGTATTTCCCTGGTCCATACATTCTGGATCTTCATCTACTTTCTGTTGCTTGGCTGCCATGAGGGAGAAGTCTTCTTCTGCCGTGCCCTTCCATCACGATCTTCCGCCATGGGAGCTAGTCCACTCCACACATGTACATTTTTTCTCCAATAGATTTTTACTGTTAGAATGGATCCTCTGGGAAGAGCTGTCCTGTGTCCCTTCTTCCTGCTCACCAATCGTCTAGGGCTGTTGTTTTGCTTGTTTTTGTTCGATTGAGGGATGAATTGTTTCTCCTCCCATGCCCAGAGGCAAGAAGAAGGCCTGGGCGGTGACTTATAATGAGGATTTCTTTTTCCTGGCTGCCCTGGAAGGTGTGTTTGTTTCAGGACTAAACCCTCTGAAACCATGAGCCAACACAAGCCTTTTCTTCTTTAAATGGCTTGTCTCAGATATTTGACACTGCAACAAAAATCTGACTAAAACCAAAAATCTGACTATCAGCCAGTACAGCATCCTTCTGGGTTCCTCTCGTTGGGCTGTAAGATCTGCAGCATGTGTAACCAACTGTTACAGGGTTACCCACAATGAGAGGCAGGTGGATTTCCAGTCACAAGCCTGATGGTCCCTAAGTGGCTCAGGCACCAGGTCTGAGAGATCCCATCGAAGCCAGGCACCAGGCAAGCCCACAGCATCATGAGGCTCATGATGGCATCACTGTGTACTTCCTTGATAAACTAGAGTCACTGCAGAGCTAGTCAAGATGTTCCCTCTCTGAACCATGGGACAGTCAGTGGAGACAGATGCACAGGAAAACATGCAAGGGTGTAACCCAAGACTGGCTGGTAACTCACCACAAGCCACCTGATTTTGCCAAGTCCCAGGTGGCCTGGCTGTGTTCCAGCTGGACCTGCTGGTGGGAGAGAAGAGGAGACAAGGTGTGAGGGGAGAGCTAAACCTGGCCCACGGATGTCAAGAAACCCTGAAAATAGAAACAGCTTCCAAGGCAGCCAGAAAGAAGTCTGCCACTGCCTAGTCCTTCTGTCCTGCCTCTGGGGATGGGAAGAGAAAGAATCCCATCAAAACAAAATACACAGCTGGTGCAGAACATGAAGGGACACAAGACTACCATTTCCGGAGGATTCATTCTAATAATGAAAATCCATCTATGAAACAGTGGTACATGCACAAAAGGGAAACAGAGAAAATATTTTGCTTTTTCCTTAAACAAAACCTTGTTGGCTTCAGCATTTTTTTTTTTTTTTTTTTACTTGAGGCTGGGTAATTCTTGTGGTTGGGGATGTTGTGTGAACTGAAGAATGTTTAGCAGCACTTCTGTTCACTGCCCACCAGAATTCAGGAGCATTACTGCTTCTGCTCAGTTGTGACAGTAAAAAGTGCCCAGACACTGTGAAATCTCCTAAGAGGGCATCTCTGCACCTTTGTCATGTTGTCTTCTGGAAAAGGAGTTAATTAAATCTGACAAAATCATTTAAATATCTGCATTTTTAAATATCTGAATAAAGCCATATCAAGATATCTGCTAGTCTAGTTGATATCCACTAGCCTAGTTGAAGAAGTGGTAAAATTAAAACTACCTTTCTGGAACTCCCTTGTAGCTTTAATCGTGGACGTAAAACCATCCTCCCAATTGTTAGATGTTGTCATGTATCACACAGACAAAGGTATGAGGGAGGGCATATCTAGCTTTTTGTGGGCTTTTCCTTCTGTCATGGGCCACGATCTCTGTCTTTCTATTTCCAATACCAAGAGACTCATTCTCCACCTTCCTGGAAGCATAGTCGGGAGGTCCCATCAGTGCAGGAGGTGTGGCTTAGCCACCCAGTCAGGATTTCAGTGGCAGGTGCTCCCTGGTGGATCATTTCTGTATTATTCAGGGAGCTATTCTTGGAGACTAACCACAGAACTACTCCTTCAGCACCTCCAACAATTCTGAAACCAAGCTGCCTTTTTAAGGTCGCTCCCTGTTTAAAACAGAGAAGGCCCCATGTCTTACTTAGAGCTTTGGTGGAGAAAACACTGGAGCGCTGCTCACCTGGCCATCCTGCCTCCTCAGGGAAAGTCAGATGCACTGTACAGGCCATGTCAGGGCTGCAGCACACACTATGCCACTGCTCAGGAGGACCCTGCTTTGTGTCCTTCCCCATCGCTCAACCTCTGGGGCAAATCTGCAAGCACTCCTCCTATGCTTGGCCTCCTGCCTGGTAACGCTTCCTCTCTGTACCTCTCTGCCCTCCTCCCACCCGCATTCACTCCGCTATACCTGGGAAAGGTAAGATGCCTTTTCCTCACTGCTGACTATTCTCAATGTCTCGGCCTTCCTAAACTAAAGGCTTCTGATTCATTCTTAAGTCCTGAGTGCCAGCTCAAAGTAAGAAGACAAGAACACAATAGTAAGTCACAAATGACACATGATCAATAGTGGACAAAGAAACAGATAGAAGCTTCTATCATCCTTTCTGGCTGCCTAATGGCATTGTACCTTGTGGCTCCTGTCCTGAAAGTACTACTCAAAGCAGGCCCAAAGGAACTCATGAATAACAGAAGGAGAGATGTGTGTGGGGTGTAAGAACTGAGTCGTGATTTGATGGCTACCTGTATTTAAAATAGGCTTTGGCAGGGTGCAATAGGATGGGGTCCACAGGCACACCCCAGAGACCATGAAGCAGCACTCAGAGGAAGAGGATGGGGACCACTGATTACAGCCCCGTAGTTCAGGTGACCTGTAGAACAAGCAAATTCAATCTGATATGAGGGCAGGAGACAGAGAAACAAAAGAGAGTTTCCAAACAAGTTCATTAGAACAACAGAGGGTAGGGATGGTTATTCAGATTAGTATCCTTTTATGAAAATCATCTCAGGTTAAATTTTCCACCAAAAATGTACCTAGAAAATATACACTGATCTTGAGGTAATTCATTACATAGTGATGCCAACCTGTCCAGGTCTAAAAATGGTGTTGAAAGAGACAGCTCTGCTTCTATGAAAGGAGGTTTGCCACAGGATTGGGGGCGAGGGGATCTCCGTGGCATAGTGCTTGCCTAGTATGCTAGAGGGAAAAAGAAAGAAAAGAAGAAAGAAAGTCTGCTACTAGGAGCAGAAACCTCAACTTTAAATGCCAAGGAGTTGCACATGAGTTCTTGCAGAAGCTGTCAGCAAATGTATGTGCCTCGCTGCTGGTAAATGGAACGAGAACACTTTACATGCAGGGGGTTTTAGAAGATGAAATAAACCGTTTCTTTGAATAAGCGATTGTGTTTATATTAAGCATTGAAGTGGGTTTTTAATTACGAGAACAAACCCTTTGACCCTATTTTGCACGAGATTACAGAGCAGAGGCGAGGTGTGCTGGGGGAAACATGTCACCAGCAGTGAAATCTGGGACATGCTCTGTCGGCCACCAGACGAGCAGGGCTGAAGAAATCCACTGCCATCTATACTGAGGAGGATTCACCAGATGTTCACTGAGCACAGTGCTATGCATAAAACTCAGTCTTTCCTACCCACAACACTACACAATGAGATCACAAGGACTACTGTGTCCACTTTACAGGTAGAGAAACTGGGGTCAGAGCGGACAGCCAGCTCACCCATGGTTACAAAACTATTACGTTGTAGCAGTGGGGATTACAGACAAGAAAGGTCTGGCTCTGGAACCCACACACTTCTCCACCTGGGCTCCATCACAGACAGTCCCGGATAGCCCCTCTGCAAGGTCTTCATCCTGGGGACCAAAGGAAGATGGTTCTAGGCTGCCCCTGTCAGGACCCCGGTTAGGGTAGTGTAAGACTGCCAGCTGCCTCAGTGCCCCCTCCTTCGTTCTCCTGTGGATACCCTGGATTTTGTGTTAAAGGCTGAGCCTGCCATCCCACTCATATCGTACGGCGGCAGGATCAAAATACAATGTGTACATTTAAATTAAATTTTAAAGTATATCACAGTGAAAGACACCGTGGCACCAGTCCCCTTCCAGATACTCAGACACACTCATCCCACCTTCTTGCCTCTTTCTGAAGCAGCTCTGAAGCCCCTCTTCCGTGTCTTCAGGAGGTGTGATAAACACGTGGTCGGGGCTGCGGCTGACAGTCACCAAGCCGAATGCAGGCTCCTAGAACATGACAGAGTGTCTCCCTCCCCCTCCTCACTGCATTCTGGCCTCCCCATGGTCAAAAGGACCATGAAAAGCAGATGCTTGAATCCATTCAGGACCTTCTGGCAGCTATAACCACACAACTGAGGACAATCACAGAAAATGACTGCTAGAGCTGCTTCAGAAAGTGGCAAGAGCAATGGGACAAGTGTGCCTGACCTGGGGGGACCAATGGCAATGTGACTGTACTATAATACATTTTTAAAATTCACCACCACTGGTTACTGCTGTGACCATACTAAACCATGTTATTCAAGAGTCGCTGGAAATGGCTTGTGGGAAGTGTTCAGAAAGGTTTGGAGATGTCACTTGAAAGAGTAGCCCTGGAACGGGTGGAGTCCAACAACCACTGTCGTCCTTCTTTCCACAGAAACCACCCAAGCTGGTCTTTCCAGGCAGGATTTCTATCAGCCTTCTGGTCTTCTGAGCTCTGACCAGAATCTCCCATACAGAACAGCCTAAGATGTTCCAGGTTTATTTTTTCAGGCAACATCTTCAAGGCTTTCCACACTCTTCTCACAAGCCATTCCTAGAGGTCCTTGTACAAACATGTTCAGATATGGTCATGGTAGTGATGCCACTCTTGGTACCAAATTCTGTCTTGATTGCTTTTGTCTGGTTGCTGGAACAAAATACCCAGCACATAGAATGAAGGAAGGAAAGGTTTATTTAGCTCACTTTTTCTTGAGGTCTCATTCCATGACCACCAAGGCAGAGTGTCATGGAACGGGGGCAACACTTCGGGGCAGCAGAGAGCAGAAGCAGTCAGAACAAAAGCAAGCCTCTTTTTCTCTCCTATATTGTGCACGGGTCACCTCCCTTCTCCAGGGAAGGTGTAGCACTCCTAAAATCTCCTTGACATTCTCTTGCACAGGGTGTTTACAAAGTAACCATAGCTTTCTGCTGAGTCTCATAGTTAACATTCTCATGTTGACACAATGCATCAACCATGACAATACCACACTCTACCTTATACATCACTTCCTTCGATTTAAATCAGTAGTTTGTCCCAATGATAAATGTAACAGTGGGTGCTTTGTGTTTTACTAACTTCTGTTATTCTTTTTAATGAACTTTTGAACCTGAGACTGTCTGTGTGGAAACTCTTGGATTTACTGTTACTGTGAGAAATCTTGGGCACACTAGGCTATCTGGAGAAATAAATTCTTAGTCTCAAAATCTGTGTAAGTCCAGGTAACGACCCACATATCAGATTAAATTTTGCCTGACCACATAGTACTGTACTAGAGATTGTACAATGGTATAAAATGACAATTCCTTAGGAACAGAAATCAATGCCAGTATGCAAAGTTCCTTAGATAGCTACATCATGTGCACCAAATAAAAGGTATTTTATACGACTGCAGGGTCCTGTTAAATAAATAGATCTGTTAAGCTAATAAAATATTGGCACAATAACAGTTTTCTGGTGTGTTTGCTAAATTGCCTTGACAAATCTGCAATCACAGGATTTGGAGTTTTCTAAACCTTAATGATTTGAACCTTCATAAGGGATATTTAAATTTTAATGTTCTTATTAAATACAGACTCTCCAAATGTGACTTTTTATAGGAACTTAATTTTTCTTTGTCGTAAAAGTTTGACTGCAATGTTTGCCTGTTTGCACTGAGAAACTAAGAAGTGATGATTTTAATGTTATACTCGTAAGCTTGACAGTTTTGATATTTGGGTAAGTGTTTTTATTAAACTGAACGTTTTGATCTTACAGATTTTGAAATATTAGGTTCTCATTTTAATTTGGTGGCAAAATTGCAGATATTTATCAAATATATATTTGTAAGATGAATTTCAATTATGTTAATTTTGAAATAATACATCTTCATAATCAAATTCTTCTGAATGACTTCTTCCAAGAATTCCACATAAAACTAAAAGAGAAATTTTGTACATTTGGTTTTATGTTCCTTCTTCAAAAACCACTGTGTTTTAAAATACTATTTGCTTTCAGATTATCAATTTAGAATTTCTTTAAAATTGAAAAATGTTTACCATAATGTTGATCACCTTGTATTATGTTTTTATATTATCTATTATGTCCACCCTTTTGACTTGACCGATTCTGTTCTGTTATGTCACATTTGGTTTTACTCTCTTCCAAAAAAGCAATAAGAACCGTGGGAGCAATGAAACCCAAAATGTGTAATAGTCATTGTACAAAAGAGAGGAAAAGAAAGTGCTCTAAACTATATAACTGCATGTATATTTAAGTGTATAAGATAGAAAATGATATCACAGAGTTTTATTGGATCATTGAACAGAACTGTTTGCAGTATCATTGTTGGAATTCCACTCTATAAGCTTTAGTTTTGTGACTTGAACAATTATTTCTAAGATGGCAATATGTAATCCATTAACTAGTGATTTCCTACTGCGCACTTTTTTCTTCTGTAAATCTGTATAACTTGTACCCCTTCACTGTTTTTTTTCTTTTCTCCTTAAATAAAAAAAAATTGAAAAATGTAAAAAAAAATAAAATAAAATAAAATTCACCACCACTGAATTTTTTGTTCAGTGCTACGGGGCACTCACTGACAATTCCACTGGCAGCAGGGGCGAGGCTGAGGGCACCGCCAGCATGAATTCGCCTCTGCTAATACTGCTGGGTGACAGTGTCAAGGAGGCTCACTGAGTCCCGTGTGCTGGGAAAGAAACCTGCATTTGAGAGAGGCTGAGGAACAGGACAAAGGCTGCAGTTAGCAGAGGATAGAGGCTGCTTTCCCGTCCTGACCTGCCAGACAACAACGAAGCCCTGTGACTTCTCCTGTGCGGTGTTTACACCACGTGCTGGCTGCTATGCTGCTCTCATACAGCTTCTCATCCGACACTTAACCGAGGGAAACAGAGAAGGTGCTCACCTGCGTGGAACACCACAGCACCACTGCGCCGCCGCCTGCGGGACGGAGATGATGAGGCCTGATGGCGGGAGGGTGTGGGGAAATACTGTTTTAACCTTGAATAAATTTAGTAAATAAACACACAACAATTCGATATTCAAAACCCTATGACAATTTTGCAAGGGACGTGTAATTTGGCAGGCAGTTGCATTCGAGGGCTAGAGATAGCATATAGACACTTACCTCCCTGCAACCCCCCTTGAAGCCCTTTGTTATGTCAATCCCTGGACATGGACACTGTCTCGGGAGAAGCTGTCTTCTGGTTTAAGTCTTAATGTACTACGGAGCCTTCTTGCAAACCTTAGAATGGGACAGGTCAGGAGAATTAAGTGCAAACTTTTATCTCTTCTTTTAAAATCTCCTTTCAATCACCAATCTCCCCAGCAAAGCACATGACCAAACAGTCCCATTAGGTAAGAGGCACAAAGCACGGACCGAACCCCCTGAATTAATGCACTTGCTGCTTGCTCCACAGCGGCCCTTCCCAAGATGACCTTGCCAATCAGCAGATCTTGTTTGGTCTGCATTTCTCAAAGACTCAAGGCCTTACTTGCGGCTGAAGGAATCTGCTTCGGTCTTCAAATGGACATCAAGATCAAACAGTGCCGTGGGTGAAATGAAATTTACCGACATATGCAGATCTGAAGAATGATTCTTTTAAAAAAAGCAAAGTACAATATCCCAACCTTGCAAAACAGGCTGCAAGAATAGTACATGTGAGCCGCGGACCTGGCTTCAGGTGTTCTGATGGTCAAACTAGGATCTCTCTGGGCCTTATGGTGGAAATAAGCAGTCAGGCTGGACCAGGTTGGGGCCTGGTAACACGTAAGCCCCAGATCTCAGTGTCTCACAGCCATGCACAGAAGCACAACTTACTTCTGTATGCCTGTCTTGGATCCAGCGAGGCTCTTATCTTGGTCTTTCTCCTGAGATCTACCTTGACAACGAAGCTGATATTCAGAATATTGCTGGTTACCATAGCAGAACGAAAGTAACTGCAGTATAACCCAGGCTAAGCTTTTCAGTCTCTGCCTCAAAGAGGTGCGTATCACTCCCACCCCACTTTCAGCCACACGGCAGGGAAAGACAGCCATGCCATGCGCTCAAGGGGAGAGAAAGTTCAGTAATTATGAACTGCCCTATAAATCCCACAATAGTAAAGTAAAACCACGATCACATGAAAAATTCCTTTCTCCAGGGTCCCAACAATGTAAGGACCAGGATGGGGAGGCCAGATTATGCCAGACCCCTCACGCCACCTGGGAAACACGTCCCCCTGCCCAGTACCCCGGTAACCAGGAGCACTGCAGAAAGCTCCACAGGGCTCCACATGTCCCCATCACGTTTACCTAATAGATGACCCTACCGATTCCCATTGGCAGCCCTCTGTAGTGTAATGAACAGGATGCGGGCTGATGAATGCAGCCACCGCACAGAAAACGTCAGTTCTTTCATTAAGCAAAGCTTCCCAAGTTCATTGTATTGAACCGGGGTTTAGGCTATTAGGCTGACACATGACAGAGCCAATTCGACTCACATTGTAAGTGCCTATTCATGTTTGGCAAATTCTGTGTTACGCACATGCACACGTTTAGAATTGGACTCTTTTTGCCTGTGACTTTTTTCCCTTGAAATCTATTTTCCTATTTTTACTTGGTAATAATTATGGAAAATCCCACTTTAGTAACTGAGCCTCAAGAAGCCTAATTTAGAGCGTGCGCCATGCATCACCACGCAGAGTTCTATCCACTGGCTGCCTGGCAGGCCTCTTCTTCCCGGAGGCCCTGAGACTGACATACGGGGTTCAGCTGCAAAACAGAAAATAATCAAATATTTGGGTGCAGAGTTTGACACAGTCGGCTCTTCGCTCTGCTCACATTCTAAAAGAGAGACATTTACAAGCTCGGAATCCCTGCTGGTGAAGGAGATGCGAGCAAAGGCGTCATTCTGGGAAACAGGCTGGGAAGGAGCCGGCTGACCACGGAGGGGGCTCAGGGAACCCATGGTCGGGTGTGCTGGTCCTTTCTCCCCAGCCTGCCACCTGTGGAACTGGTGGCAGCTCCATCATGCCTATACAGGTGCCCTCGGGTGGCCAGGCTGTTGATGGCCACTAGGGCGCAGACGTGAAGAGTTAGGGGCTTGTGGTCCCGGACACAGAGTCAGGGCAACCTACAACTGCAAGCATGGTCCTGGAATCCACTTCTATTACTGTCACTTGGTGTCAGTGCCTATATTGGTCTTACAGACTCCAGACACCCAACACAGCCCACAGCTTCTGCTCCTGCCTTTATCATCTGCAAGTAGGCATCTTTTTAAAAGCGTGAGACTCTATCATCTGCTTACTTAACACTTCCAATGGCTTTTACTTCAATTACAAAGAAGTCATGACTTCTTTCTTGGGATTTACAACCTGTGGCTGCCCACCCTTCAGTCTCTCCGCCTACCATTCCTCTGGGCTAGAAACAGTGGCTGCTTCCTCTCTCAGGGCCTTTGCACTTATCTCTGCTGGGAATTTCTTTGTTGACATGTTTGTAGGACTGTCAGCACTCAAGGTGCAATGCAAAAGTCCTCTCCTTGAAACACATTCCAATCACATATATAATCACTGTCCAGTTCCTTTTTCTCTTTTTATTTGAAATAATATAAAACTTTGAAGCCACTTCCCTGGTGCTATGGATACCATTGTCATAGCAAGTCATAAAAAGCTACTGGAAATGAAAATATAAGCCCATATTATAATTTGTTCATGGATATTCATATCAGCATTATTCATAATAACAAGAATACAGAAGCGACTCTGTGAAATGCTCATAGCAGCCATTATTTGTAATAGCCAGAGATGTGCAAATGTTCACACAGCAATATCATTCATAACAGTCACAAAGTGGAGACAATATGAATGGATGAATGGTAAACAAAATGTGATACATCTATAGAACGGGGTATTATTTGGCTGTAAGAAGAAATGAAATACACATACTACAACATGAATGAACCTTGAAAACATTATACTAAGCAAAAGAGCCAATTACAAAAGGCCATGTATGGGCCCATTAATAGCAATTTCCCAGACTAGAAAACGAGTGATTACCAGAGGCTGGGGTAAGAATATGGAGTAACCCTAATGCAGACAGGGTTTATTTGGGGGTGATGAAAATGCTCTGGAATGGCTAGGATGCTTGTGCACCTTAGTGAATATACTAAAAACCCTTTGATTGTCCCCTATAGAAAGGACAGTGCTGCAGTGTTGAACTGTATCTCAATAAAAAAGCAGTGGGATGTGACTTCCAAGACTAATTTCAAAAAAGATTCCAGCCTCTGAGTTTCTCTCCCTTTCTCACTCGGAACAGAAGCTGGCTACCATGCTGTGAGTCACCTTTTGGAGAGGCCTATGTGGCAAAACCCAGCAGCCATAGCCAGCAATGAACCAAGGTTCCAGGCCAACAACCTCTGAAAATGTGGATCTGCCCACGCGCTGTGGCATGAGGTGAGCAGAGCCTCCCCAGGCCAGTCCTGCCAGGACTGCAGCCCCTGACCGCAGCCTGAGAAGGACGCTGCCCGACGCCCCTCCCTTCTCAGCCTCATCTCAGCTGAGAGGACAATGCACGCTACTTTCGGGTAGAGGGGAAGATTATCCAGGTCACACAGCCTCCCACAGTGCTTCTGTTCTCTGCATTTTGTAGTACTGTCTTATCCAGCCCTGAATCCTTGGGACTGATCCCCAGCACGTGATGTTAAATTCAGAATAGGTGTTTGGTAGAGTTTTCAAGAACAGAGCAAAGACTTTTCATATTGTTTTTTCTTCAAAGGGCCAGAAAGGCTCTCAAGGAGAGAGAACTGGAACAAATGACAGCATCAAGGGCATGGATGTCTCATCCCGTGCACTTATGCAGATGAAATTCTGAACAAGACTCTCAGAGAACTGTGGTGAACTTGCCATCAGGCACTCTATGTAGGAACAAGAGGAGGTTGTAAGATTTGGCCTTGGCTGGACCAACATTAGACATACAGTATAATGATAATATATGGTGAATATTTAAATTTAAATAATTTATTACAGTAACAGACACACTGTCATTTTCTTGCCACTTTCTGAAGCAGTTCTGAAAGTTTTCTTTCATATCTTTAGTTAAACTGTAGTACCTGCCTTGATGTCTTCAATTACTGGGGGCCTGGCCAAGATCCCCAATCTCGCAAACAAGTGTACAGTGGAGGCTTAAATAAATGAGACCAGAGGTATGATTTTAGGGCTCCAGGAGGATCAAAACCCTTTAACAGAGTTCGAGACTCTGGGGGGCTAGACAAGGAACATTACTGGGCAGCCCGTATGTATTTAGTTTTTCAAACAAGGAAGGGGTGAGAGTGGAAAACTCAAGAAACTGAGCAGGATCTTGGGAGTGGTTCAAAGACTTCCAAATAACAGATTACATTAATTTAGGAGAACTATTTTATGTTAATTTAGGGTAAGTGTCTTAGGATGAGATCTCCATGTTGCATTTCACTACAGGAGTGAGAGGCCTGCACTTACAGTCTCTACCTTGTTAAATGGGGGTGAAGCCAGGTGTCTTCAGCTTTGGCCTCATCTTGCCCTTTGAGGCGTCTCTCTTCTCGGTTGGCCATGCCCTGGCCATGCCACAGCACTGCATGCGTGTTCAATTTCCAGTTTCAATTACTTCCCACATTCAATCAATTCAGAATGGTTAACCTGGATCATTTTCACTTTGGGGAAGAGCTGGAGATTACAGTGGCAGATCTAGTGACTGAGGGTGGAGGGGACACAGCCTAATGTTTTCCGGGGAGAGCCTTTCTGCAGAATGGCACTCCACAATAGCACGGACCATATTTTTTACCATACTTTGTAAAGGCACTCAGGAAAGAGGACTTCCAGAACTGCTTCAGAAAGTGGCAAGAAGGATGGGATGAAGCAAGTTAGAAGTGACAGGCGGAGTGTTAATGGGGAGATTAATGGTAATGTGTCCTGTGCTGTAATTTTGGTTTTTAATGTCATTTTAAAATTCACTGTATTCCCCCCACCCCCATATGTATTGGCCAACCTTAGCGTAGCCCCTGCTGTGGCTGTCTGTGAAGCACTCGGTCCTAATATTCTGCAAAGCGCTATGTCAGGACATCAATTACTATTAATAAAAGATGACATCAGTCCACATACAATTCACGCTGTCCCTCCTGGAACCTCTCCCCTGCCACACACACACACACACACACACACACACACACACACACACACAGAGCCCCGGTCCTTTTCCTTCCTCTTCTGCACATCTCTTTCAAGAGAGATTTATTACAGGGTTGTCAACACAAGCCTACCTTTACGGAAAAAGATAAAAATACGAAACACCTTACAAGAAGACGCCGTGGCGAAAGCTAAATCATAAATGTTTGATAAGGAATGGTCAAATCCAGACAAATAACTGCTCAACCCCACTTTGTATTAAGCAGATAAAGTCATACAGAAAATCAATGTGATGTACTGAAAGGGGAAAACACGGGTAGGCTTGGTGATCAGGCTACACACTGTTATGAAATGGTTGCTTCGGAAGAACCTTACAATTATGAGAGCTCCATTTGTTTTAAAAAGTGGGGTGCTAATTGCTGACTTGCTAAACACATCAATAGCATTTGAGTCCTTTCTGCTGTGAGTGGAGATAACTTGTGGGGTGACACAGACATCTGTGTGTGTAAACACTGAAGAGAAAACTGTGTAATCCTTTCAGATGACTAGTTAGCAATTCTTGGGAAGTCTTTACTCCAGCATTTCCGCTACCAGGAAGTCTTTCTCTTGACACCCTTTCTCTCATAGACAACAGGCGTGTGGAGAAGCACAGGTAATAGCAAAATGTGACTTAAAAGCCTGTCCACAGAGGGATGAATAGGCCAATTACAGGACATCCAGGTGACGGGACATTATGTAGCCATAGCACATTAGGAGGTCTAGCAACACTCACTGCCACTAAATAATCTCCAAGCCACTGTTAAATTAAAACAGCAAGGCAATGAACAACATTTATTCAATAATGTGTTGTGTGCATTTTTAAATGGCTATGCATACTTGTTTTGTTTATTTTGTTTTGCCCTTGTTGTTGTTTTAAGGATTGCTGGGGATCAAAGCCAAATCCTTGAGCAGACTGAGCAAGCACTGTACCACTCAACTGCCCGTCAAGCCCAGCTGGGGATCTGATGGTAGGTTTATGTAACATTCCTGGGAAAATCTATGGTACAGTTTGAATGGTGACTTCCTTTGAAGAGGAGTTTGGAAATGAGGGAACTCTTATTGTCCAGTCTTATGGAGAGATTGAAAGTTTTACCGAGAGCTTCTATATCTTTAATCACTTTTTTTTTTTTCCTGCCTAGTGTGGGGGGAAGCCCGCGTGGTAAGCAATAAACAGCCCAAGGACAAAACAGAACAAGGTAAAAACCTTCCAGGACTCCTAAGCTTGCCTTAGTGCATGAGTCACCTGCTAAGTACTGAATCTCCATACAAGACCTCTCTCAGTGAAACCAGAGAGTCTGTGTTAAGTGGCCTACTCCATGCTCAGGAGAAATACCAATGTCTCCAATTTCCTTTTGGGTCCCCCAGCCCAGGCCAGAGCTTCCCAAACACACCGAACCTGTTCCTTTGGTGGAGTGGAATCTTTCCTGTGCACAGGTGCATTTTAGAGATGGGCTCCTGGGGGACAGGCTATGTCCACCACTTACTCTTAAGACAATCACCTCCTCCAGCTGATGGCAGTATTTTATACAATCCGCCATTATTTTATTTTATTTTTTTTAAGACCCAGTTTGCAATTGCAACCAGATGGGGAAAGGTTCTCTGAAATAAAGACACTAAAAGCTTGAAAGAGCAAGCACTTAACCTGAGATCAACATCTAGGCTGTCACATGGGTGAGTGATGTGTTTGCTTTGAGGTGAAAAAACAGGAAATGAAGATCAATTAACAAGGCACCAATGAACCTAAAATTACTTGACTTTATTAGACACTAACGGTGTGATACATTCCCTACAGGGAGGGCTCTGGGGAGGAGAAAAGAGCAGCTAAAGAGCGCTTGAGCACTCCTTTGCTCTTCTAGAGTCAGGGGAGAAGAGGCACACTGTAGGTCTAAAAAAGAAGAGGGACTTATCAAAATGAAAATGTTTTTCTCAATTTATCTCTGACAAAACGCTTTCCATCTTCATGGAGGCGAAGATGTGAACACTTGCCATTTCTCTAATACTTCTGGCACAGGAAAAGCGGATGGGAGGCTCCTTTGAGAAAATAAACAGAGCTCTCCTGACCCACCTAGCCTTAGAAATCAAAGTGGGGCTCTGCCAACCAAGTATACTTCACAAATGTCTGAAAACTCACTCAAATGATATCTGGAAAGTTTTCATTGTTGTTATTTCCCTTACATTGCACTTCTGATCAGAAATCTCAAATTTTAGGGTCCACCAGGATTCCCCACAGGGCTTCTTAAAACCCCAGTGTCTCTGTTGGTGTCCTGGGACGGGGCCTGAGCATGGTCTGCTGAGTTCCTGGGCGGTGGGGGGGGGGGGCCCTGAGGGTGAAGGAGCACACGCTGGGGACACCAGTGCAGAGCTCTGAACTTGGACCGTGGAACCAGAGCAGGTTCGGTGCCTGGCTCATTTATCTCTGTGGTCATCTCCATGATCCCGGCTCTGATCCTTTAGTGTAAAAGGGGCTAAAAGTATCAAGTGCTTGTCCCGGGGTGAGCAGCATCCCCCTCAAATGCACATCTACCTTCGCATGCCATCTTCCTTGGCAACAGGGCAGTGCCATGAGTGAAGGTAAAGTGAGGCTGGACACAAAGAGGCAGCAGAGACAGAGACCCACAGAGGGAGACATGGGCAGGGACTAGTGTCCTGCAGCTGCAGCCAAAGCCAAGCTCAGGACACATGACAGCTGCAAGAAGCGAGGCCAGGGCAGGGAGCCTGTGCTTGCTCCGAGCCCTGGAGGAAATCCTACAGAGCCCTGGCACCTGGAAATGCGAGGGACTAAAGTGCCATTGCTTTGGGCCACCTGTTTGTGGCACAGGGTTACTGCCTCCCCAGGAAGCCTATACACTGCCCCGTGGGATTCTTGGGCGGGTTACATTAGTGACTGCACAGCAAGGGTTTAGAGTGGGGCCCGATGCATGATGAACATGATTTAAATAGCAGTTCCTGTTATCATTCCAGCCTTAGTAAAACTTTTCTGTTTCATTATTTTGGTAATAGAATAGTAGAAATAATGATTTTTCGTGGAATAAAAATCTATAGTGTAGCGAACAACCCTAAGTAAAGGTCATCTACCTGGGTGATTTGGTACTCCAGGGGTGTGTGGCAACAGTGCCATTATTTTTGGTGTTTCAGGACTTGGGGGAGGAGGGAGGTGATGCTACTGCCATCAACGGATGGAGCCGTGATATTGCTCAATGCCTTGTATAGCACAGGTCGTCCCTGCACAACACTGTAGAGGCTGAGAAATTCTAGGGCCAAGTGAAAAATCAAAATCACCCGAGGCTGCTTCCCAGGAGATAAGCCACGCAGTTTATCCATCACCAAACTATTTTTCCCAAATACAATGATCCTCACCAATCTCCTACACTGCTCCCATGTTAGTAATAATAAAAAGTTAATAAGAATAAAAAAATAACAACTACACAACAAAAATCTGGAGTGAAGCCGGCTTCTAGAAGCGAGCCTCCACAGGCCTGTGTGCACCTCCCATCCTGGAACCCCCAAGGCAGCCTCCATCTCCATAGGAACTATGTCTGGGGAAACTGAGGACAAGCTGCAAACTAGCAGGGGCCAGACCGCCAAGGGCAGAGGGTATATGCACTGTTGGGGTGGGGGGCGGTGGCTACTTCAACCCAGCTGGGGTCACATTTGACTTAAGGGCAGAGGTGAGTCTGGATTGAGCCTGTCACTTCTGCCTTGTTCTCTTTAGTGACATCAGTGTACACCATCAAGACAGGGAGTCACCAGGACTCTGTCATCATGGGACATGATACAGGGTGCCAGGCCAAAGAGTCAGGAAGCGCAAGCGCCTCTGTGGCTGGGAGAGGCACAGGGAAGATGCTTTGAATCCAGGGGAGCCCAGAGGGTGGACAGCAGAGTGAAGCTCCTGTGTTGACTCAGGAAGAGAAAACCAGAACCAGACAAAGACAGTGAAGATGGTGGCACGGATGGACTCTCTGCAGCCAAAATGAGAAACCCTGGGATGGACGGGGGTGGGGAGCATGTCTAACAGGGCCACCTGGTGCTGGGCCTCGCCACTGGATACGCGGTGATGGCCTCATTTCTAGTTGGAAAGCACTGGATAGCATTTTGTGCCTTCCAGAGTTAAGTGAAGATGTAAACGCAGAGGGGAGACAGACTCCTCAACTATCTTCAAAGGCTTAGGACTGCAGAAGCAGGGCAGGACCAGAGGCCATGACTGTCACAGACTTGTGTCTATGGCTTTTCCCTAAATGTCCACCTGCTCCTCATGCTCATCGTATCCAATGCTCACCTGTCCTTCGGTGTCAGGTAATCTGTCAGAGAAGTCTGGCTCTTGGCTTTGGAAGAGCTGTTTATAAGAGCAGCCAAGATGATGCACTGAGGAGTGTGTGGTGGCTCCCAGAGCGGACAGAAAAGGAAAATGCATGTTGGAGGTGTTGACCCCTGAAAGAGCCCATTAGACGGTCTGCACATGGCTGATGAGGGGGAGACGGAGGCACAGAGCTTTGGTCCTCCCTTTAACATGCACACATACAGGCGTACACACACACATGCACCAAAAGTCATAAAAACACAAAGAGAAACAGCACGGCAAGACTTTTTCTCACAGTGGACTGATAATTTTGCCCCTCCTTTTTAACTAAATAAGTCAGGTAGCGGAATAAATAGAATCAATCACACACCCCAACCAAACGTATCTTTGATGATAAACTCAGATCCAACTCTAATTCTTTTTTTTTAATTAAAACTACGGTGTTTCCTAGAGCTGTCCATTTTGGAGTTCCAGACACACAACGATAAGCAGACTCAGATCCAGAGATTTCAGGACCCTGGGAGAAGGAGCACAGCCCACAGAGTCCCTGGAAGCCAAGCCTGCAGCAACCCAATCGAGTCTAACTTCTAAATAAGGCTTCGAATCACAGATTTGTTTACTTTCATTTGGTGATAATTGTTCGCAGCAGAACATATCAGAAAATTCTATAATAGGAACCACAGCCAGGAAATAGTAAATAATTAATCACCCTCCCTCCCAGCCTCTTGCATCTCTGTTGATATAAATGACCGTATAATTCCAAACCCAATTATCACTACTTAGCCGTTCCATTTTGTAGTTAAAACCCCACAAAATTAAAGTGCATCAATTGTTAATGGTAATAGACCAGACAAGGGATTAAAGATTATTTTAATGTTTATTTCCTGTCAAGAGATCTTTTGGCAGGAAACACTACAGACAAAAGGCTGCACATTCAGATGAGATTCATATATTTAAATCTTCTTACTTCTAAAAACATTACGGATATAATTACTTGTTTAATTTACTTGTTCCCTCAAGATACAGGCTGAGGAGATCAAGCCAACTTATTACATCAAGTTCTCAGAAAAGCGAGGCGTGGTCTGCAGCACTTTAGAAGCTTTTGTCCAAGAAATTGAATCAAATTTAGAGGCCAAAGCCCACTCCCTTGAGAGGCTGGGGGAAGCAGAGGCAGAGAACAGAAAGGAAGGTGCAAGACCAGAGTTCAAGTCTCAGCCCAGCAGCCAGGGCCGGAGGGAATCAGTGAGGCTCAGCTGGAATCTCAGTTGTTGGTGACATGAGATGGGCAGGGACTACAGTGCAGAGTAAGGTTTTGAATGACAATAATGAGAAAGTGACAGAAGACCTGAGGACGGCCTCTGGTTAGACCAAAGTAGTTTGCAAGGCCAAAGGCAGACACAGATGTTCTGATGGGATGGGTCATATGGTTGAGATATCAGTGTTTAATCTTCTTCAAGCACCCTGACAAATACACCCACACACACACACACACACACACACACACACACACACACAAACACAATGAAATAATTTACAACTGCAGCATGCAGGAGACCTTAGGACCCACTTAATAAATGCTGATCCATTTCTAAAGTCAAGACAACAATAAAGCAAATTCCACATCATTTGCTTAGAATTTGAGTTAAGAAAAGTTAAGAGATTTTATACTATATGCATATTTTTATATAATGTGATACATTTTATAAATGTGGGATAAATAGATATGAAAAAATATGTAATTGCTCACATGAAAATACTATTCACTTCCTGAGGAAAACAGAATCTGGAAGGAACTTGGGGCCCTGCTCCAGGGTCCAGTTTATAGTTTACCTGTTAATGCTCTTCCAGCTTCTTTAGAATGCAAGTACCATGAAGGTTGCTGTTTGTTTGTTTGAATTTTATTTGAAAGAAGTAAAATACAACAGAACAAAATAGAATAAAGCCAACTAAGATCGTACAGTGAAGTTGGTACAGCACTTCACAGCAGGGTACCGGGATAACAGTAATAGGTATCACAGTATATTTCGTTGTCTTTATAATAGTTGTCTTTCAATCACATATATCAAAATAAAATGAAATACAGAACATTATAGAACGTATCAAAACAGAATATTGAATAGAGCAGTACCATTAATCAGAATAGAGCAAAACAATAACTAAAAATATTTGCCTTCAAAGAGATGGTAGAAGGAAATCCCCCTTATTTGCTATGGTCAACCTCCCAGGAGATGCTCAGATTTCTGGTTCCCATTTGCTAATGGGGGGACAGGAGAAGCGGGGTAGGGGAAGTGGGATGTTTGACTCTCGGCCGCGCACCAGTAGGCTCACTATTGCTTAGCAGGGAGGCAGGCTGCTTGCTTGGTTTCCCAGCGTATAGTGTATGTTCCGATCCCCCCATTCCCAAGCCTCATGTCCTGGACACGGTCAAATCCAGCATTTGTGATTGGTTCATTGTCTAGCACTGGGGCTGGTGGTGTGAGTGCTACACGCCCTGGGGATGGAGCCAGCATACAGGGTAACAGCAGGAAGAAGGCGTGTCTTCTCTGTTTTGCCTGGTTCCCGCTTTGCTGCAGGGGCGGCCATGAACTGCTGCCCCTCAGCCAGGTCATTTTGCCTTGGAGCCAGTACGGACTGAAACCTCCAACGTGTAAGAAACAAACCTTCCTTCCCTAACTTGGGCGCCAAGTATTTTGTCTGAACCATGAGAGAGAAAAGTAACTAAGACAAAAGTAGAGAGATACTGTCTAGTTCGTGCTTCAAAATCTTACTAACACTTAAAATACAGTCCAGTACACAGTAGGTACTTAATACAAATTCCTGATATGAATAAATAGTAATGACAGTAAATGTATGATGGTTTTCCTTTTTAAAAAGGGACTTATTGCTCCTAATTCTCACACCAACATATTAACTTCACTGGCTAACAAGGAATCTGCAAACTACCAGGTTGGGAGACTCCATCTAAATCAGAGATCCAGGTGAAGGACCAAAGCCATCTTCAACTCCCGATTTCTCTCTCTAAATCCTGGGCTCCTCCTCCATCACCACTCTAAGCCTCTGAGTTTCTCTCTGCCTGGCCTGTGGAAAGACACATTGCTCTAAGTAGACAGGAGGGACTTACAAAGGTTTATGTAATGGTTTGGGTTTTAACCCAGATCTTTCCTCAGCTGTCTGATTCCCAAGTCCAACCTCTCTGACACTGAGGGAGGCTGTCATGGTTAGGGATGCTGCAGCTATGCTCCTCGGTCCTGCTCTGGGGGTTGCCATGGCTTCAGGATGCTATACCTATGCTCCTCAGTCCTGCTCTGGGCTCAACATCTGCTCTGCTGGCAGAAGGAGTGGCAGGGGACAAGCCCTGGGAGCATGAGCTGGCTCTGCTGAAGTCCAAGCATGGCGTCCTTGGTGGAAACTGGGCACCTCCACGCATGGAACAGGTTAAGGCAAAAGTTCATCCCCAGCCTTGGGGATGAGCACAAAGGGTAGGAGCTGGCATCTGTCCAGGCCACCTCTGATCCTGTTTAACAATCTGCTCACACTTCCAGAGACCTGCATGGCTTCCCACCTCCAGGGGACTTGTTCTCCTGCCAGAGTAAAACACTGAATAGCTGCTTGTATTCAACCTGACAGCCACAGATATTTAAGAGTCTAACTCAATCGTTACATCTTTTCTGTAGATACAAAGCACCAGAGCATTGCGGCACCTCAGGGCTCTCTCTCATTGTCCTGTTTAAGTATGCTGGGGATGTGCGTGCAGGAAATAGGGCAGTTTAAGGAAAAATGGTGCACAGTAGTCCCACGCAGGTGCTTATGATGTAAGAAACTTTTGCAAGTTCCTGATACCAACTGAGGGATGCCAAGTACCTGTGCCTGGGGGTGGGGGTCCAACCTCCTTCATGAACATGATAGCTGAACAGATGGGCAATGGCTTCAGCAGTCAAGGGGCCATAAATTGAATTCAAGAAAAGCCAAATTCCTGTCACTCCTGGGGTTATGGGTTCCTCCATTAAGGCAAATCTTAGTGCTTTAAGGGTTTAGGATACAAGCTCAGCAGCTAAGCTACCCTTTTTCCCCACTCTATTTTCAATGGAAGAGATGCTACACAGTCGATGGTGTAAACTGAAATTTCCTGTCCATATCAGTGTGGCTGGCTCACAAGACCCCAGAGTGGAGTGATGGTAGACCAGCTGAGATTTGTGAGATGCAAGAGGCATGCCATAGAAACCCATTCCCTAACCTTTCACCATGCATGAAATTTACTGTGAATGGAATGCCTAAAAGTCCATGTTGGCCTCTGATTTAAAACTATTAAATCTGGTTTCCTGAGAACACCTCAATTATAATAAATACATCACTATGACGACAAATGCTAATGATACCATCAAGGACTAAGGTGAACAACCTTTACGTGAAAAATGTATTTGCTTGTGGATGTCCTGAATTCATGCAGCTGAGCCTTAGCTTTGGGCTGAGTCATGGCGCAAATATCAGGCTCCTAAAGCAAAGGCGGATGTCACATCCTGGTGGACAGTAGTTGGAGGCAGGGTACTGGGACACAGTTTCAGACGGGTGACAAAACTAGATCTGTGCTCATACGGAATGCGGGTTTATCCAGTGTATGCAATTTAAGAGAGAAACTGTATTTTTGCAGATATGAGCATGCTTTTCTAAAAAAGAGAATGCTAAGCAGATATGCATACGTTTTCATCTTCAAAGTATATCCTGAAGAAATTAGAGAAACACGATGGCCATTGTGTGCAGTAATCTATTTTTTTAAAAAATGAGATGCCTTTTATGCAGTTTAGTCAGTCTTCCTTTTTTCAATCTAGATTCATCCTTCTGTTCATCTCCTCTGTCCCCTTTTCCTCCTTCCTCAGATGTTTTTCCAATCCTACCAGCATTCAGCTGCTGTGAGAGACATATAAATAAAATTAAGTAAGAGTGATAGATAGGAGGGATGGATTGAAATGGTGGCCAAGGTTTTAAACTCAATCATAGACCTTAATTTTGATGCTGCTTCTCTTGCTGTTGCTTATAAGTTTGGGAAGCCAAGGTCATTTGATCTGTTTATGGGTTCATTTACCAGGCCTGTAAAATCTGGGCATTTGTGCAGTTTTCCTAAGTTTTAAATGAGATGATGTGTGAACCTAACTAGTATATCATAAATACTTAACATTAAAAAAAAAGTGGTAACAATAACTTCAACAGAGGTCAAAAGTGGGAAAAGCCACAAATGAAGGTCAGAAAATAAAGGAAGAAGGAAGGATTAGGAAAGATCAAGGTCATAGTATGTGGAAAGAGGAAGAGCCCTGTGGGGGTGGGGTAAAGAAGGACAAATTAGTACAGAAATAAACAAAGGCCATCCAATAAGAACAGAGGCCATTTACTCAAAGCTTGCTATCTCCAGGCAGCCAGCACCATCATCAGCATTTGGAAAGAATGGAATGCCAGGAGGGCAAGAGGAAGTTTGATAGTGAAAGATGGCAGAGTGGTATTCTCCATCCAGAGACCATCTGCATGAGGAGGCTGAGGCTGAGGGGCTGGAAGTGTTACTCCCTAAAGGACCAGTCTGGGAGGCACATGGCCCTTCTCTGGTTGGTACCAAGCTGTGAGCTCAGATGTTGCTGACTAAGTCCTGGCCAGCCGGGTTGATTCTTCCTGAGTTGCAATTTAACTTCTCTGATTGGCTGCTTGACAACTGATGTTAGAGTTCCCTGGATTCCATCTCTCTTTGTGCCTAGTGACCTGCTGACACCAGAGCCACCCACAAAGAGGACTGTGATGAGAATCTGTCCCAGAGCATAGGCCAGCAGGCAGGGGGCACAGGGAAAGGAAAGCCTTCATCACTGATTCCTATGCCAAGGGCAGCAGATCTCAGAGCCCCCACACAGCCTAGAAGCCCATTCCCTGCCACCACAGGCCTTTGTATAGGGATATGTGTGAATTAGAGAGGAAAAAGGTGCTTTGACACCCTGCAGAAATAGCCATTTTTCATAGGACTCCAGGGAGGCAGTAATTTATTCAGTCATCTTTCAACATAATTCCTGTCTGACTGATTTTCTTTCTGGCTTCATCTTCTCCAAGGTGGCACACACCTGTTCTGGGTGAATAAGTGTGGGGTACAGATAAGAGGGTTCAAGGAGCCAGCTGAATAATGGAAAAGACTAAGCTAAAGCAAACGAAAAGAAAAGCTCACCATTGATATAAAATTTCTGCCAAAGGGATTACTAATGTTACTTTTTTACAAAAAAAAAAAAAATAGCAATAAAAACCACTTCCTAGTTGTTGGGAAAAAGAACAGGGATCCCCCAAAGGCAGAAATATGCTATTTAATACAACCAGCCTTAGCTAGTACATTTCTGATGTTGATTTTAGACATTCCTGGTGGGTCCGTGTAAACCAACCAGGTGATATCCAGATTAAGGTGTAGTCTAAGGTGTCAATGCACTAAAACTTAGTACATACTCAGGAGAAATATATCGCTGGTATTTAATGCAATTGTGGGGGTAAATGCCCACCCTCATTTGAAGGTGGCAGGAGAAGGTGAAATGGGGAGATAAGGCTGCACTCAGGGGCTGGGATACCGAGGATGTCCCTTTTCTTGTCTAATGGATCCACAGGTGATTGGCAGTGATTCATTCCACTGTATACCAAAAAGAGGCTACCACTGCAGAACCGTGTGCTAATTCAGGTACTGATGTAAACCTGTGCAAAGACCAAAGAAATTTGAGAAGTCACCCAGTCTCCAAAGTGGGGAAAGGTAAGCAAGACTGAAAGCAGTTAGTTTTGATCGGTCCCTGCTGTCTGGCTAGTGCTCACTCCCGTGGTGAGGTGTTTCGGTTTCCTTTGTTCAGAGTCCTCCCATGCTCCTCATTCACCTGTCCCTGAGCATCACAGCAGGTGACTTTCACATCACTACCCCTGGCTGACTCAAGGATGTGACCCAACTAGGTCACCAAGCTCAACTCCAGGCTGGGCTTTACGAGTTTCCTGGCTATTCTTCAAAGCAGGAAGTTCCTCAGCAACAAAGGGAAGAGACCAACTCTCATGGTGTCTTTTTGTTTGCCTGGGTCCAGCAGAGCCTGAAACAGTTACGTCTCTAGAGTTTTCTCTTGCCTAGGAGCATACATGTTCCTTCACTTTCCACCCTATTCTATACTTTTCCTCCGCAAGCTGAAGGAGTTTTCTCACTCAGTACCAAGATGGCCTGAGGGGGACAGGGAAGTTCATTTTAGCTAAGGGGAGATAAAAAGAAGGAGGTGCTGGGCATGGTCTCTGCCCTCAGAGAGTCTATGTCTAGATCTACATAAAAAGAAAAAGCAAGTAAATAAAAAGAAAATGTGACATACATAAGCTGTGATGTATGTGGATTACAAAGCTAAGGAAAAAAGGACTGTGGTGGAAGACAGAGGGACATTACCTTCATTAGGTAGGGCACAGCAGTAGGCAGAATTATGGCACCAAAGGATGCCATGTTCAACCCCCTAGGAGCTGAGAATAGGTTTCTCTGTGTGGCCAAGGGGACTTTACAAAGCCAAGCTACAGTTCTGAGGTCATGCTGAACTGTTCAGGAGAGCCCAATGGAAGCACAGAGCACCAAAAGATAGAGAAGAGAAACACGATGGGTAGAGTCAAAGAAGGATTTTAAGGTACAACTTCAACTGTGGCAGAGAGGGCTATGGGTCAAGGCTACTCCTAGAAAATGCAGGCAAACACTTCATCTTTGGGAGCCACCTGGATCCATCCTTGTCAGTTGTGTGATCTTAGCTTGGTGAAAACTTCTGGAGTTTCTGACCTCCAGAACCATAGGAAAATAGATTCCTGTTATTTAAGCTAGGGATACCCAGCTATGGTCTGTGCCCTGTTATAGGCCAGACCACACAGCAGGAGGTGAGCAGCCAGACAGGGTTGCCGAGTCATCATTTACAGGCCCTCCTCACCCCTCACATCACTGATTCAGCTCTGTCTCCTGGCAGATTAGCAGCAGTACGAGATTCTCAAAGGAGTGCGAATCCTGCTGTGAACTGTGCATGGCAGGGTCTAGGACTCCTGTCCTCGTTTTGTAGTCTGTGGAAAACTTGTCTTTCCTAAAACCAGCTCCTGATGCAAGTCAGGTGGGGGAATGTGGGTTGAATGTGTTCATGAGGGAGCTGTAGTTTGTATGTCTCACAGACAAGTGACTTGAGCCACCAGCGATACATGCATGACTGTCCCATTAAGCAGCATGGGACACTCACCCTGGGCAATAATAGCCACCTGATGGGAAGGTCATGCACGTACCACTAGCGATTCAAATCAGCAGGAACGTGTTTTGTCACCAATTTGTGATTATTTGTCATGGCAGCAACAGGAAACTAAGATAGACTCTCAGCAGGTCTCATTTTTATGAGAGGTAAAGGACAAGAAGCAAGGTGCCAAAACAAGGGAGGAAAAGAGATGATGGCAGGTTCAGGCAGTGCCCAGAGGCCCCAGGCCAGGCTCTGTCACCTGCTGAGTGCAGCCAGCACCCCACTGTGGCTGGGACATGAACTGCTTCACATCTGGAGAAGAAATTGAAGAAGTTTAAACATCCCATGTTATCCAATTTTCAAGGAAACAAAGCCCTTTTTAATGATTTTCTTGATTGTGACTCATGAAATATGATCAAAGCTCACCCACATATTAATGATTACAACCATGAGAAACCCCAGAAAGTGCATTTTCTTTGGTAATCCCTCTTTATATTCCTAATACGCACCCCGGGTTTTCCTGATGCATCTTGTTATTCTGTCCTGCAGTACCTTCCCAGCCCTGACCTATAATAGATACTAAATAAGTAACTATTGGATAAACACGCCCATGTGTTTGGTTTGAAAACACACTCCCTGATGCTATATCTCTGCCATGACCTGCGCTCCAAAGTTACCCTAGAAATAATTAAAATGTTCAGTTAGTTGCATAGAGAAAGAAAGTGACACACGCAGGGGTGACCATTTCTCTGTGGGCACTGCCCATTAGGTCAGAAGCTTGGGGATAGGCAGGAGACAGGGAGGAGCAGCGATGTTTTTATAGAATGTTATTAAGATATCAAATGCACCGGAGGTTACTAATTACGGCAACTGCCTCATGCTGAGAAGAAAATATTTTTTTTTGGAGCGGGGCTGGCCCCTATACCCCTCCAGCTGCTGAGCAAGCAAAGAACGATATGAATAAACTCCACAGGCACAAGAAGTCCAGGGCTTCCTTTTAAATCAGTTCCTAGAAGGCAAGGAACCAGTATATCATAGTGAGACAATCATTTATAATGGGACCATTATTAGGAGCCGAGATATAAAAATCGTACACGAAACAGCCTTATAAGCAGATTCAGTGCGTGGCTGATTAACCTCCCTATCCTGCTGGGGGCTGGACGGCCCAGGGGATGGTAATGAGAAGTGGAAGTCATTTGCCTCGAGGTCACTGGTTTTAAGCTGGACACGTTAGATGGGGCCTAATCGCTACTCATGGGTGACTTGGCAGAGCCCTGCTGGGGACACAGAAAGGAGGGTTCGAGGCTTGGTATTACTAGCTGTGGATACTTGTGCTGGTCACAGATTCTCCTGCAGCCTCAGTTTCGCCCTTTGGAAAACCTTGTCAAGGTTGATTTTGTTTTGTTAGATACACAGGCATTAGCTGGGGCCCCAATGCTAAATGGGATGTTCTGTGAAGTTTTACACTCAGAAAATTTCAGATTTTTGGACTAAGAATGCTCAACCAATGCTACTATGAGGAATAATTTTAGGGTTTTACATCCAAGTGGATGAGTTCCATAGTTTGAACCCAGCCAGCAAGGAATGCAAAATTGGGTTAATTAATACACTGTTTCCCAACCCAAAGGACTGGGCAGAATTAGGAAAGTGTTAATTTTCGTTCCCCTGTGACTGAGCATGCCTCATGACCAGCATACCCTTGGTATGGACCTACAGCCTCTATGGAAGCCAAACAAATAGTGGTCATGGAGTGACCGCAACTTTCTAGACAGCAAAAGCCCGCTGCAAGCAGTTGGGGATGCAGCCTCCTTGAGTGCCACCCCCACAGGTGGCTGGTCCTAACAAACAGTGGGAGAACAGTGAGTTTAAACAGCATTGAGTTTGACCTGGTGCACACACACAGCACTCAGAAAAGTCTGTATGTTCCATCAAGAGTGAAATGAAGGCAGGAATCGCAAAGCAGAAGAAGCAAAGAGAAAGTTTTAAGCAAAAAATAAAGAAGTCTGCACGATGGGACAGAAAGAGCAAGTTGGTAACTGACTCTCTGAGTTCAAATCCTGCCTCAGGCTCCCAGCCCTTTCCTGCCTCCCCTCAAGTCCCTGTACCCAGCCTTCCCATCCATTTCTTTCACCTTGAAATAAAATAGCTCAATACCTTCTTGACCTTCTTGAAAACAGGATGCTATAGAATAGGTATTTAAAAGTTACCTCTTGATTTAGATTTCCATTCCAAATATATATTATGGGAATCATTAATTTAATTGAAGTGTTTTGGTTAAATGGGGAGAAACTGAGGGTTATTGTGGGGCCAGGAGGTTTTGGACACGTGGACGTCACGCCCAATTTAGTAAAGCATTTAAGTGTTAACTCTCCAATAAACGGGTTGTTGTTTTTCTTCTTTTCCTCACTTCCCCCTCCCCTTCTGCACTTTCCAAGGACTTCAGGCACTTGATGAAGAGGGAAGAATAATCCCTTCTTTAGTGTCTGTGATCAAGATCTATTTGGCAACCCACTCCTCTAATACCAGCCTGTGCAGAGAAATAATTTTGGCTCCCCGTTAATTTGAGTATTGAACTGAAATTCTGCAGCTGCTTTCTGCCAAGCCTGAAAGCAGAAATTAATTTCAATGACCCAGGCGAGTGGAGGGGAGCTTTGTCAGGTAATTAGTCTTCGTCTTTTGCTACTCAGGGTCTATCACTGTGTTAATCCATACATAAACCCAGGCATTCCAGGAGTCGCTGGCAATCTTCGGGGCTGTTTAACTACCTCTAGCTTGGGCGCACCACAGCAGGGCAGTGGCAGGGAAAGGAAGGCTCCAGGATCTCTTTCATGTTTCCTTCCTCCTACCTATTTCAGGCCTGCAGAATGAATGCGGCTGATTTACATGTTCTTTCTCCTGTTTGATTGAGTCTGCCTTTGATTAAGTGGAGCTTGGGGTGGGAGAAAATGGGGGGAGAGGGCTCCCACTCCTGCCGCTTTCTGACTTGCCAATTTATTAATGAAAGAGGCTCCGATATTGATAGCCCTGACACTACAAGCGCAGCAATTAAAGGGTATGTCCTTCCAGGCTTCTAATTAAAAAGGAGGCTTTTTCTACCCAGGATGAGTCCTATTGTCATATTTGCATTTGATCCTGGCTTGGTTTTGGGGCTCTCTTTCCCTGCCCTTCCTTTTGGGAGAATCTCTAGGGAGAAACTTAGACCTGAGAAAAATAACACACGGTGTGCAAGGCTTTGTTCTCAATGGGGGTCACTATGAAATCTAAGCAAAAGAATGGTTTTTGGAGAAGGCAGCTACTTGCAAAACCCAGTTTGTTTGCCTCTATCTGGCTCCCAAACAATTTTCTGGGTTCCACACCTTTAACCTTGAAGGAATGGGGGTGAGAAATTAAATAGCAGCAGGAGGATTTTCTCAGTTCCTGCCACAGCACTGGTAATCTCTAGGCACAGCTCACCCAGCAGCTCCGTTACACAGGTGAACCAAAGTGACACATGGCCCCGGGAAGTTCTGCCACTGCTGGTTCTTTCTCACCCAGTGTCCTTCTTCCCTCAACAGCTACCTATTACCCCAAAGTCCCCAGGGCCAGGAAGTTCCTTCAGACAGGGAAGCAGGAGAGGTGCAGAACACAGGAACCAGGGGGTCTGCGCCCCATGTGAAGAGAAGCCTGACTTTCTGGTGCCTTGTGTCAATTCTGATGCCAGAAATTTGGCCCAGAGGTGCCAACTTTAATGCCTCTGAAATTCAAAGGCATTAAGTAAGGCCTAGAAATCTGGACCTTACGGGAAAACATTTCTTATATAGCAGTGACAATTACCAAAGACCTAAAAACATCATCTTGCATCCAGGTAGTACACACCTGCAGCTTTCCACCTGCTTCCTTAGAATTGCTCACACCCATTTTTCTCACCATTTAACAGTTTTAACTTTGAGCCCCTCGCATAAATGAAAATGAACCAGCTTTGTCTGCTGGCTTGGTCGTGTAACTGTACTAGCTGAGGCTCGCAGGGAATGAAACTGCCTAGCACTGTGTAAGAAGGAAACAGACTGCTCTTGAACATTTTTTCTGCTCTATGCACTCTGGTTTTCTCATCTGAAAAATGGGAACATAACTCTGATGAGATGAGGTTTCCTAGGATGCAAGGCAAGGAAAAGCTGTGCCCAGTGCCTGCCCTGAGTAAGGACCAGCTCGCTCTGCTTCCCTGCCTGCAGCTCACTGATGCTGAGGTCCAACAGGCCTGGGAAATGAGGAAGCTCCCCACCTTGGCCTGGGTGTCCAGCTGAACAGCCTCGAGTTTTCAGGTTTCCACGTGTCCTATTTTATGGCTGCCCAAATCACAGCAGCGCCTGCATTGGATAGCAGGATGGTCTTGTAGCTTTGCTTTTCTACCTCAGAAGTCAGTTTCTATCTGTCCCCCATAGGTCTGCCAGGAGGTTTTAAAGGGAGGCAGTCTTGATCCTGGGAGGCACAGGGCACTCACTCCGCAGAGGAACAAATTCTCCTGGTGTAGACGCCTATCGCACAGGTATCTGCTAAGTTCTTTTCTCTACATGTTTCAGATTAAAGTTTGGAAATGGAAAAAAAAAAAAAAAAACTCCTTTGCATCTTCACAGGAGCTATAACTGTAAAATTCCCAGCTCTTTCGGATTTTACTGTGAATTCCTAGAAATGATAATATTCGACCAATGGAAAGTCCTAATGGTGCTTTGTTGGGATCCGAAGTGTTCTGCCTTGCCACTGACTCCCTCCTGCCCCTCCCCCTGCTGCTGAGGGCACAGTGGAGAACTCAGGAGCATTAGTCTGGTGTCAAGTGGTGCTGCTCTCCACATTCTATGGGAGTCAATTGCAATTAACAAGGCCATTCAGAAAAGGCAGGTACAGGCCAGACAAAGGTGCACAGACAGATCTTATCAGGGCCCAAGGCCACAGGCTGGGCCTTTCAGATGCAGCTTGCATAGAAAAAAAAGAAAAAACTACGGTAGTGCAGGGATGGGGGGTGGGGGGGATGACCCAGGGAAAAGAGGAAGGACAGGAGTGGGGCAAGCCTGAGATGTTTAAAGGACGCACTGCAGACCCCTGGGTTTGCCTGTCAGGTTCAGACCCACACACACCTAGGAAGCTGGAGCCAGCTGTCCTAAAAGAACACAAGAGCATCTTTGGGAGCAAGAAAGAAAGAGGTGGGTCCCTGCAGCAAGCACTCTGGGGCTAGTCGAATGTGGCCCAGACCCAGAACAGGCGGCGCGAGACTGCTGTCCAGCCAGTGGGCCCGGCACAGGGGCTTCTTTGCCCACACAGAAGAGCTCTACAGGGAAGCACCTCTCTCACTTAGATGGGCACATGGGTCCCTTCTAAGCTGTTAAGTGGGCCCTTGGGAGAGTAGCACTCAGGCCACATGTGCCCCCCATGTCTCCTCCGAGGTACTTCAATTTATTTTCAAACAGAAGGCCTTAAACAACTACACACTTGGCTCTGCGCCAGTAACCAAGGAGCAGCCAGAAAAACCATCTCCGCAGCCTTTCCTTTGTTGCTGGGCTCTGACACTGATGTCAGGGGCTAAGAAGTGCTAAGGGACCTGACTCAAATGCCAGGCAGGCCCCTGATGGGAAAGAGAAGCATGCACTGCTCAGACTGGGCACATTCTTAAAACACTCACCAAGACCATAGGGAGCAGAACCACCGCCCCAGAGAGGCTGCAAGTACCAGCTTGAAAGTGGCAGACGGTGGGGTGGTATCAACGTGAGCTATGTATTTTATTTTATTTTATTTTATTTTATTTTATTTTATTTTATTTTATTTTTTAATCCGTTCAGTTTCCTTGACATGCTGCAGAAGGGCAGGGGCTAGGGAGCTTGAGCCACACTTCTGTCCAGAACTTGGAGGACAAAGGAAATATTTCTAAACCCTGAGAAGCCCTACAGCCAGATGAAGAATTTAGCTAAAACCAGCCCCTCAGATTGGTAATAGGGATGCATTTTAAATAGCCCAGCCAAAGGCAGCACCTGGAGAACCAGCCCAGTGACCAGCAGTGGAATACTTGTCGGTCTTTTTCCAGAAACAGATGCACGACTCAGGTAGGCAGGCAGACCCTGCTCCAGCTCTACTTCCCCAGCTAATCTGCTCGTTTTTATTTATGCACGTCAGTGACAGAGCACTTACATCTCAGAATGCCAGAAACCCCAGGCTAAAGAAAAAATCCATTAGTTAAAAATTCTTCCAGTTCTCATGCAGCAAGAGACAAGAGCGTCACTACTCCTAAGCAAAAGGTCCAAGACTGATGGGTGAGAATGGCAACCACTCCCATTTTCTGTTGCAAAGAGAAAATAATGCCCAGCAAAACTTCATTAAGTTGGTATCGGCTTATTCAAAAGAGATTATCATTTGCAGTGACTATTCCCTAATCAACTGGATGCCTCTACTGTAATCTTCCTTAACACTCAAAGTCTGATGATTAAATATATTAATATATCAGAGAGGCCACTCTTGGTTTACTGCACAAGGCATTTTGCCACAGGGTCTCAAAGGCATCCACGGGGGTCGTCAACACATAGTAGGTGTTCGATAACCCTAAGATCCCTCCCCCTGGATTTTGTATTATCAAAGTTTTAATCTGGTTTATAACATGTCCAATCCTGACAAATAATAGCATCGATTCCATTTTAATATACTACCTTTTATTAAACCGGAGCCATATACTCTAACAGCGAGGGTCTGTCCACGGCACTGTAATCACCGCTGCAGCACAGATGTCTCTCCCAGGAAAACAGGGGCGCTGTGTGGCTGAAGGATAGGAAGTGTCCAGCCGTCCACCTTCGCGTGCGTGGGATGAGTTACTGGATCACATTACCAACGCAATTAGGCCGGGCTTCCTCTGTGCTTCCGCAGCGACCTCTCAGCTCTCAAAATATGAGGCGTTTTCCTCTGTGACCTGGTTTCCAAAGTATCTTTTTCCACCATAGTGGCACCCACAGAGGCCTGCACAGAAAAGCCAGCTTCAGAGTCCTGCATGCCTTCCATTCCCAGTTTCTCCAACAGACTTCAGGGTCAAGGGCGAAGTGATCTTCTGTACTTTTCATGAAGATGAGGACAACAAAGAGGAGACCATGGAGATTACCACGGTGGCACTAGCTGAGCATCACATCCCCATGGAGTTGGTGCCTCAGCAAGAGCTACGTGTGTCTCTGCAGCACCCAGCCAACCTCAGAGGAAGAGACTGCATGGCCTCATTGTGAAGGAGAAACTGGAGCTTAGAAAATGATCAGAGAACAGCCCAAGCCAGCAAGAAGGGCAGTAAGTAGCCCAGCCAGGACATGGACCGGGCATGTAACTTGGAATCCTGCAGTTTCCTAGCACAGATGTCATGGCAAGCCCTACGCCCTCTGTCTGAACAGTCAAGGACAACACACTAGAGGTGAGTTGTCCAATAGGCCTCCCATAGGGATCTAAGGTTTACATTTGCAAATTTGTGCATAGCACATTTGCTGCTATGCCTCAGGTTCCCTGGGGATGGGTTAAGGGGCAGCCAGGCCTCTAGGAGCAGGCAGAGAAGTTGGGATTCAGATCAAAAGGGTTTCCACACCTAATGCTGGCCGCACAGAGCCAGACCCCAGCCAACCCTGCATCACCAGTGCTCAGCTGCAGATGTTCCATGTGTGGAGCTACGGCTGTGGCAGCAGACCCACTCAGACTTGAGATCTGACTTCCCGGTACCATGACATCGGACAAGGGTTTTTATGTGCAGGGACAACATCAGGATTAGAGAGGGGTCGCTAGTGACCGGTGCTGATGCTGGGAACTGCCAAAGGTTTGTGTAAGTGTCCTTCCTTGCTCCTAACTCCTCTGAGCCATTGACACTCCTTGTTCACAAATTGTGTATGCATCTCAGACTCACCTCCACACACACACACACGCACACACACACACACGCACACACACACACCACGTTCGTTCCAGACTGTTACTGCGACTTCAAACATTGGCCTTCAGCCCCGTGCCCCCAGACAGTATTTTTATGTCCCTAGAACTTTTGCCTCCTCCACTTATTACCCCAATCAAAGGACATTTTTGCTTCCTGAATGAGTGAAAGAGTTTAAAAGGTGTTAAAAGATGACTCAAAATAAAAGCAGAAACACATCAATTCCACGTGTGGGTATTTCAGCATCCAGTTGTGACACGGGGCTCGTCATACACTACACAAACTGTTCGTCTTAGCTAACAATCGCAATGGCCCTCATTCACCTGGACACTTGCATTTTAAAGGAAAGGCCTTTAAGACTCAAGAAAGTGCATCTCTAATGGTAAAGTTTTTTTCTCCTCAGAATGGAAAAAGAGTATGTTGTCAAAGACTAAGGCTACATGTCCTCCTGCACCGACTCTGGGCTCAGGACACCCCGCAGTGTGAAACTCGCTCTGTAACCCCACAGGTGGCTGCCACTCAGTCTGAAGTTGCCTCCTTGGGTGCTCTAGACAGTCGGAGGGAAAGGACATGTGGCCCTGTGGTGAGCACGGCTGGAACTGTGCTCAACCACAAGGAAGCTGAAAGGAATCCTGCTCTGGAAGGTTCCTGCCTGGCTCCCCTCGGTGACCTGCGGCATGGTGGAAAGGAAAAGGGGTCCCAGCCCTGATGTGAAGCACTGGGGAGCACAGCGCAGGTCGTAGGCAGGCTCGTGCCCCGCAGAGTTTTCTTTATGAATCATACATCAAGTAGAGAAGGAAGCTGCTCAGCTCAGCGCCCCCTTCACAGCGAAGCAGAAAAGCGCACGCGGGGAGCACAGGTTGCCTTCCTGAGCAGCGGGCCTCGCAGCCATCTGTTTATGAGAAGCTGGGGACTTTATAGTGGCATCACTGAGGCCAGAGGCCTGACGGCTCTGATCAGAGACACGCACAGTTAAAAGTCACGCAAAATGCAGAGTCCCTGACTCTGCCTTGCAGGCTGGGGGCAGGCTGGGGAAGGAGAGGAGAAGGACCCTTTGGACGCTGCATGGCACTGAGACCTGCAGGGCCCCATGTGTCCTCTCCTTATGCCTTAGTTTCTTCATCTGCTCGCTGGGCATGGGAGTATTGGACCCCTCCCCTACAGAGCCCTTACTTTCCTTTATTCATTGGGGGTGGGGAATGCTTAGGTCAAAGCATGGCGGGTTAAGAAAGTGAGGCAAGGAAAGCCATCCAGCGGTGTGCTGAGCTTCTGCAGGGGTCGTATCAACACCTTCCTAATTTTCCCTCCTCCTCTCATCTCTTCACCCTCCAAAAAGTAATATCCGTGGGAACATCCAAAGGGAATGACCCACCCAGAGGGGTAGCAGAAAAACTGGATGGCGCTGCTGACATGCGGAGCAAGTTGACATCCCAGCTTCCCACCAGGACGCTACAGGCAGCAGTAAACTACAGCAGGTGCTCCTCACCCTGCTCCACAATCATCCCGGAATGTGACACTAGCATTTACCTCATTCTTCAGAGAAGAAAACTCGGCTCCAAAAGATGCAGAGACTTTGCAAGTGGTCACTTAATATGAGGGGAATGGGATTCAAACTTGGGTTTTCTAAATATTGATCCTCAGCTTTTACCCCCTAAAAAACTGTTTGCAAAACAAGTCTTCAGCCTCTAGATTTCAGAGATTAGTAAGACTGGAGGGGCGGTGCAAAACAAGTGAGAAATGTAAAGTAAGGTTGGGAACACTGTTTCATTTTTCCAAGTAAGGAAACTCAGGAAAATATCTACCACCTCTAACCACTGTCATTCTGCAAAGGACAAGGTAGGTTAAAACCCATTAAACACATATAAGACAAGAGTACAGATGAATGGAGAACAAATATCCACCACTAACATCCTAATTTTGTAAAATAAGGACAATTTTTAACATTGAACACATCTGTTGGCATATTTTCAGAATAAAGGACAATCATCTAATCAATGTAGCTTGGTATGAAATGAATCTTCCGTCTGCCCTGTTATTTTCCTGTGTGAGCCCGGACGGATTACTATGAGTACCCGTCCAAGTACCGTTCTGGAGAGGTGATATCACAGGCATCCAGTGCCCCTTCTACAAACATGAGCGTGGAACTGGTGGGATCCTGGGGGCAGTCACAGAGACTCCTGAGTCAAGGAGGGCTGGGGGATGACAGGGATTGGCCTACAGCAACTGCCCAAGGGTGCGTGCATACGGCCATTCATGCATTAAGCTTTCTCTTGAAGTCAGGTCCCAAGCAGGACCTGGAAAGACAAGTGAGCTGAAGACTGCCCCAGTCCGGTGACTCCTCAGGGGACTCCCAGGACTCAGAAGACAGTCACACTCACAGGTATAGTTAGTCACAGCAGAGAGACACAAAGCAAAATCCTCCCAGGAAACAGGTGCAACGTCTTATGGAAGCCAGGTGCAAGCTTCCCGCAGCTCACTCCCGGGGGGAGTCACAAGGGATGACCTGAGTACCCTGGCGAAGATGCAGTAGGGAAATGTGTTGTGGATCTAATGGGAGGAGAGAGAAAGGCAGCAAACGCCTATGTGAGTGAGTGCTACGGAGAAAAAAGACAGAAGCGAGGAGTCTGTGTGTTCAGGAGAAAGGCAAATTAACTGAGTCTAGATGACCAAGGAGCTTCTTCTTGCAACCCCCAAGGAAGTGATGATCAAGTTGACCCCTAAAAGCTAAAAAGACATGGAAAGAATCACTACCACCAGGTAGAGAAAGTGCCTGTGCAAAGGGCCTGTGGCAGGAAGACAAAAAAACAGCATGAGAATGAACTGTACAAATCCGTAAGGTTCTTGCAGGGCGTGATGAGGATTTTGACTTTTTATCCTAAGGGATAGGAAAAACTAGTGGAGGAGTCAAGCAGGCAGCAGTGAATTTGGCAGTGGCAAAATATGATTTCTATTTTAGAAAAATGACTCTGGTTTCTGCCTGAAGAAGGGATTTTAAGGCAGGCAGGAGGGGAGGCAAAGGTGTGAGCAAGCCGTCTCTGTGGCACCGCGGCTATAGATGGCACTGGCTAACAGCCTCAGAACTCAACCCAGGGCACCAGCATGGGTGCCGCAGATGTCAACACAAGGCCAGAGCTCCCCAGTGTTTTCTGATCCCCATCCCCTGTGAAGTAGGGAGCGGGGAGAAGAAAGATGCAAGAGAAAAAATGTCCCTGTTGTTCTAAATGACATAAGAACTCCAAAGGGAAAAGTGCCACTTGGGAAAGCAGGCAGCAGTGCCCTTTGGAAAGTTTTAATTTTGTTTTAACTTTTCAAATCTACTTACATTCACACTGTGGAATATGTATGCACGATAAAACGCTGCAGTTACAGTTAGTTGGGTTAAAAACTCACTTTTTGGAACAGGTTCAAGGGAATACTTATATAAAAGTCCTCAGAATGGAAAGCAATTCCACAGATAAAATAGAATGGCAACATCTCCTAAATATGCCCCTTGCAAGATAAATGCACAGAGAGGATGGGTCTGAGCATCACTAATGTGAAATTCACAACAGCCAGCAGCTCATCCCCTGCGCATACAACCAGCTGCAAGGGGCCTCGGTCTGGTCCTTAGCATCAAGGTTCATACCCTTCCCTGGGTCTCTCTTCTTCCCTTCCTATTCACTTGCGATGGAAACTGGCCCCCAATTTAGAGCAGTAAAATTCCATTCTGGCACACCGCTCACGATGCATGGGACGACCACGGTGTTTATTTTGCAAAGTTCCAGACAAAGAGAGCTTTAAAAAATTGCTGGAATAAATCCACCAACAAGCATTTCTGCGCTTATTCTGTGTAATTATCCTTGCATGGGGAGGCATACAAAAAAGGAAGGAAATATGGTTGTTATCCTCAAGGCACTGGCAATTCTCTCAGCTCCTGCAGAAAGACTGAGGACCAGGACCACACTCTCCCTAACCTAACCAAGGGCATCAGATGGTTGCACTTTGCCTGAGAATCTGTATTTTAAGGGAACAAACAGACCTCTGAATGGAGCTAGGATTCACACTTTGTGAATGTATGGGA